TGTATCCAAATAGTACATACTTTGGCCCCAAAAATATCTTGACGGTGAACCCCACAAAGTTGGGGCATGGAATGAGGATGAATAGTGCCGGGATTCCCTCTACTCAACCTTGAGGCCATGAAGATGATGATGTTCCAATGCTCTGGCTTCTACTGTAGGGGTTGTAGGATATAAGTTGGTTTAGGGAGCTTGGATGAGTTTGGGGCGTTTTGGGTTTAGGATGGTTTGGGGGTTTAGGGGTTTCTGAGGCTTAGAGGCTCGGGGGCATCACGGATTTGGGTGCTAAACCCTACACCCTAAACCCAGTCGTGTTTTTTGGGGTTAGGGGGTTTCGGATTTAGGGTGCTTCGGCTCAGCGTGCCGCTGGGGGGATCTTTGAGGATCTTGTCAGGAAGATGGGGAATTTACATGGGTTAGGGTTTAGGGTTTAGGGTTTAGGGTTCAGCAGCTCCGGATTACTATTACATAGAGAGTGCTTAGGGTTAGGATGGGCTTTACGGCTTTACGGTTGAAGGCATGAGAGATGCCTCGTGTATGTGCATAAGTATAGTAGGTCACTGTCTCCAGCAGCCCCATATGTCTAAGCTCCTGTATAACTTGGCAGCACCTGGCTTTGGGATTTGTCACTTGAGGATCTCGGGAAGCCTGCAATTGCTGATGCTGTATGTTCCGTGTCATTGCCAGCGGTCTAAACGAAAACTGCGAGACTGCACCCTGGATCCTTCCTTAAGCTTCCTCATGTTAGTTTATGAACTACTATTTTGTACCACCTCAGTTACGGCCCCCATATAACTACCCTGACATGAACCTTTGAGACTCAGCACCAGCCTAAAGTCTTCAAAACCCGAGAACCTGAACCTCAAAAACTCCAAAACATTCCAAAACTCCACGCCCCAAATTCTCTGAGATAGGGCCCTAGCTCCAACAAGGTTCGCATGTCAGTTATGGTAGGATGATGGCTTGCTTTATACCAAGGCCGCAGTTTGCCTACCCACTCCCTGAGTTGAACCCCACAGCACCCTCCAAACTCCCCCAGCCGAGCTGCACCGCTGAAGGGCCGCCGTCGAGTGAAGGTGAAACTCCAGAGGCCAAAACGCTCTCGCGCAAGGTCCTCTTTTTTTAGAAAGGATGCCGCTTCTTCTTTATGAAATTCATATGCTTGTCTATCATCTTTGCTTTCGAGGGTCAGTCTGAGACGCTACTGCGTCAAGGGCTCTTCTCTTCGTTCAGGAATCAAGTGTGTTGTTGAGGTGTAGGGTTCAGGGCGTAGGTTTCAGGCTCGGGCTTGGCTAAGGGTTAGCATTCTGTTGTACTTGAGGCTACGGCTGTACTTGTGTCTATGAGTGTAGATGTGGTCGTGATTGCTAATCGCTCTATAGCTCCGACACAAGGTTGACATGGCCAAGCTTAGACATTCTTGAGAACACGTGCATCTTGACAGGCTCTGAGAGCCTTTCGTGAAAACAAGAAGCCTGAAAACAACCGGGCCGAAGCTTTAGTAATTCAGGGTCTCTGAGAACCACAAAGCTGCAAGAGCCTCCAACCACCCTGCCTCATAGATCACACGACACTGAAGCAACTGCATGACTGATGCTATTGCTAGAGTGACAGCAGAAGTTAGTTTTGTTCTTCGGATTGCCCACTGTTCAAATCCACATGACTGTCAGCACTATTCCGTCCATTCGTTGTTCCGCAAAATCTTCTCACTCGGCTGCACACAAAACTCTGCAGCTCCAAATCCATAGTCCCACCTGAGCCTTTGTCAAACCAGTCCTGGGGATTGCAATCTGTCGATGAGTTCTGGAGAGCATGTTAACATTCGGTTGAAGCGTCGAGGATGATTGAAACTTTAAGACTTGCGGCTTTTGGGGTTTAGCGGCAGGATTGGAACTTAACGGCCAACGTACTATGATTCAAGCATGCATCGGATTACCATCAACAGCTCGGCTGGGCCTTGCTGGGAATCCTATATCTAGGATCCTATAAAGCACCCCCTCCACAAGCAAACTACAATGGAGACCATAGGTAGAACCTTGATTCAGGATTCGGAGTTTTGAGGTTGGGGGTTGAGGAGTTTAGAGTTCAGGGTTTCAGAGATGTAGATCTTATATGCTTGGGCTTCCACAATACCCAAACAAGGTAAATCCACATGGGTACTGAATTGCAGGGCGTGTGTAGATCCTAACTCCCGGACCAAACGAACGCCCGTCGTAGCTGCATCTCGCAGGAACAGGCTACTAACCAGATTCCTAAGGGCTCCTTATAATTCTAACATATATCATACGTGTAACATAAAAACTAACACTAAACCACAAAAACCCGATTCTAAGTATAAAGGCCGAAGGCGGCTGTCTTTTTTTGAAGCTCAGGCTGAGGATATCTACGGATCATAAGCGTTTAGGGTCTGGGGTTTAGGGGTTAGGAGTTTAGGGTGCCCTAACCCCTAAACACTAGTTGGGTCTCGTTAAAAAGAAAACAAACTTTCATCATCTTCAGGTGGAAGGGCTCCATTTAGGTCTAATCTTCAGACTGCATGCATCGGTCACGGCATTCCTCCCGGTTCGGCTTTGTATTCAGTTGCTGAGTGTAGGGTGTATAAGGCCTCATGTATTTGATCAGTTCGGACCCTTGCACCCTAAACCCTAGACACCAGGCCTAGGAATTCGGGATTTTAGGGTTTAGGGTTGATTCAATCGGCGAATGGCAGGCTGACAAGAACTGTTCTGGCTGCAATTTTCCAAAGACCAGGTAAGGATATTTGTTATTTTTCATGGGGAGGGGGAAAGAAATACCTGGTTGCCGGTAACCCCAAACCCAACAAAACAATCAGAATGCTAGGTTATCACCCTTTAATTATAGGATCTAGCCCTCAAAACAGTGGGAAATTGGAGCCACAGGTATGCCTTTGTGGCTCTACGGCTTTCAGGATTTGGTATTTCGACCTGGTCCTATTGTTGCTTGCATCCCTTTCCCGCATCTGATTGGGTTTAGGGTTTAGGGTCTAGGGGAATGACGGCAATCATCATTCTGGTACCTCTGCGATGGACGAACTATGCGAAGCCTTTTGCTGAGATGCAACTTAGGTTCTGCTGTCAGAAAACTCAACCCTAACCCGAACTTGTGCCGACACAGAAAAGTGGAAGCCAAGATTCGTCGGCTCAGTGTGCGCGCAGTTCGCGTTGCACGTTGGGTGGCCGCAGGCTGGCAGCTTGTCTGCAGTGCGCACCAAGTGCAGGGCATCTTCATAAATACTGAATCCCGACAGCCATCCACGAACTAAACACCACAGCACCAACCCTGTAAAATTCGAGCCACACAGCTGAACTAGCACTCTTAACGCCAAAGACCTTCTACCTGGCCTTGTTACAGGCACGATGTAACTTGGAGTTGGAGGGCTTGGGGTTGGGGTTTGGAGTAGGGAGTTTAGGGTTTAGGGTTTGGTGCGAGGTGTTGGGGTTGGGGGCTTGAGTGCTTCATGAGCTGGGGGATCCTGGAAATCTGACAAATTTTGGTAGTCTAAGTCGAAGGATCTTGAATAAAAACTCAGAAGGATCCCAAGACCTCTGATAGGCGCTTCTGGCTTGCGTGACTCCACGGCCTGCGGCGGCTCTGGCACCCGAATCGGCTGGGACTTCTCGGGCTCTGGTTCGAGCTTGGCCCGGGCCTCTTCGGGCTCTCTTTCGGCCTTGGGCTGCACTTCTGGCTCCTCCGTCTGCGACCCCACACAAGAGCTTGTCCTGAGCTCGTGGAAGACGTGGGTGCTTTCCACTTGAGCCAGCGGCTTTTCTGGATCCTCGGGGGTCTGGATGCTCTTGTCGCTGTTGCTGACAAATTGGCCCCAGGTTTCCGAATAGCCATGGTCGAAAAAGGTCCTGTCCAGGAGCTTCATCTTGCAGTCCATCTTCTTCAGCTTTGTCTTAGCATCTGCCGAGATCGAAGCTGAAGTAGTTTTCTCCTTCTTCTCGTCAGCCTTCTGGGCAGCAGCCATGTCTGGCCCGTTCTCGGCAGCCGCGCCTGGCCCCTTCTGAGCAACGGCCAGAAATCCTAACTGTCCTAACTCAACACCCGCAACTGTCTGACCATCGAATCTACCAAAACAATACCAAGAAGCCAAAACCAGAATCCAAAACCCAAAACCTAAGCCCAAAACATGCCGAAACCCTAAAGCCAATTTTAAAACCCCAACTCTCCTGAAACCCGAAACCCCATACCCTAAACCCAAAATGCGAAACTCCGAGCCCAGCCTTTCCAGAGCCCGGCCCACATGCCAGGCAGCCTAGGTTCACCGAGTAGCACCCTAGGCCCTATAAAATTAAGGGCACCCTTTTTCCTAACACTACTTTCTTTGTGTTGAGAGTTTAGGGCGTAAGTCTTAAGGTTTCGGGTTTAGGGCTTAGGTTGAAGTATACCCTTCTTCCCACTGTTTGACTTGATAAGAGACCCCAAAAGAAAAAGGGGAAAAGGGTACCACTGGGGAACCGAGCAGCTTCTTCTCCAGGGAGAGAAGTACAGCGCGCTCCTCAGTAGATCCGAGAGTTGGTGCAGAAAGTTAGGGTTTTGGGGTTTTGGCGGCTGAGAGTCCCGGGTAGGGTCTGCTGTTTTCGGATGAAGGTTTTGGGGTTTAGGAGTTTGGGAGTTTAGGGTTTAGAGTTGAGAGCAGGATTCAGGGTGAGAGCAGGATTCAGGGTGAGAGCAGGATTCAGGGTGAGACAGGGTTTCTGAGCAGGTCGAACCTTGATTCTGCACCTTCAGGGGCGATCTAAATGCTGAACCCTGGAGCTTATGGGACATTCATAGGTTTCCAAGAGGGCTGATGCGACCCCCGTAATCTTCTGAAGCTTCAGGGATATAGGTTTCACAAGTTCCGGGTTGTGAGACCGACCCTGGCTCCGTGAGTTCAGTAGTGAAGAACCTGTGGCACTTGGTGCCCTCAGGACTCCAAAAGCGTCCCCCCGGGCTTCAAAACTGGACCTTTACATCGGTTTAGGGTTTAGGGTTTAGGGTTTCTCACTGAAAACTCAGCCTTAGACAGCCTATGCTATGACGATGGACGCGTGTCTGTACCCTGCCCCTCAATCTCAAAGACCGTCTCGCTGACGTTCTTCACCAGTCCTGGCTTGTGCTTTGTGTCCGGGTTAGGGGCTCAAGTTTTGATACATGTGCTCAGGGTTCAACATCCAGGGCTACCGACAAAAAAGGCTCAAAGATCGGAGCAGGGCTGGATGTATACAATAACACTATGCTATGTTGCTGCGCAGCCAAGAAGGTTACAAAGGCAAAAGTGTAATCATGATTCCGGCAAACACGATGCGTGCTTCAGGGTGTATCGAGGACAGCGTGCAACAACTCAGACCCGAAACTCCTTTGCCTGATAAGCTGAAAACATCTTCAAGCCAGACAACCCAAAGGTTTAGGGTTTAGGGTTCAAGGTTTCGGGAGCCCCTGAAACCCTAAGACCTTTGAAAGCCCTAACCTTAGCACCAGCTACCCCAGAGCTTCGCGCCGAAACTGCTCAAGCATTTCGGCGCAAAACCCTAAAGCCCTACAGACCGCAAAGATCCTGAAGGCCCACCAACACGGCCCCCCAAAACCGCCACAGCTTTCCTGCAAGCTGGCCAGCGGCTACCGGAGGAGCGGATTTCAAGCCGAGCCTGTGGGAAACACCAACAACAGCAGCACTCCCAACAGCAACACCATGATGACGACGACGTGGACATTGCTGCTGATGGCTGATGATGACGATGGTGGTGGTGATGATGATGCTGGTGATCCTGGTTTTATCTAGATAATGCAGATCATCATCAGCAGCATCGTCATCGTCATCGTGCCATCGTCATCGTGCCATCGTCATCGTTACCGCCATTAGCACCACCATCGTCATCATCATCATCACCACCCACAGCAGCAGCTGCAGCATCGCCACCCTTCACGGTTACAACAATACCATTAAGATTAAGATCAAAGGTAACGACACCGCCAACGGCCAGAGATCGTTACGACACGAATGTTCTGCTCCCAGCAGCAAAAATCCTATGACTGCAGTGGTGGTACGAGAGATAAATATGGGGCTTCAGAAACTCTGGTGGAGGGGGGGGTAGGAATAATATGTATTTCAATGCTCGTTGTAAACATAAACTTCGCTGCATCCCGCTGCATCAGCAAAGCCTCTAGCCTTGAAGCCCAAGATCTCAAACAGCGTTTGCGGCTGCTGCCTGCTCTTGTTCTGCCTGTCATAACCCACCCTGGCCAGATACCCTCTCCTTCCTCTTCGCCATAGCTACCATTCTAGCCGTAATTAATCCGTAAGGTTCCTTACGGTCCTTGACATCGTTGCACCCAGAATAAGAAATCCGGACACCCTGAATCTGATCTCGCTCCTTTTTCAATCTCAGAAGACGAACCCATGTGCCGGCGAGCGACTTGAGCATGCGCTTGCCCAGGGCCCAGTCAATGTCCTTTCCACGGGCATGCCTCGTCTTGACGGTGGTGCTGAACGGTTTCGGGTCCTGCTTAGAGCTGACAGTCTTGGGAATCGGTTTTGCGGGGTTCTGAGTTCGGAGATTAGGGCTTGGGGGGGTTCGTGGGACCTAAGGCTTAGGAGCTGAACGTCCTGAAATTCTCAGGGCAAGATCTGGTTATGTAGCAGGCGAAGCCCTGCACTGGACCTGTCAACTGCAACACCCTGAAGCCCAACACCATCACAGAGCCGCAAATTTAAGCCAAGGGTCCTTGTACCCAGCAATCATACGCTTAAATGCTATAGCCTGCAAGATACCACCGCTTTCAAGATAAGATCCTCTTATTGCTCGGCACTGACACGCTTAAGGTAGCTCTAAGCCCTGAAACTATGAACCCTCTAGGATGATCCATTCAGCGCACATCCGAAAACTCAATGGGGTTGCTTTTCCTGACCTGCCGATAGGCCCAGCGGCTGTGGGATAGGCATGCGGATGTGGATTTCAGATGCAGTCTGCGTCCATGAGTATCCTGGGCGCATGGGTTTAAGCCTGCAGTTACGGAATGGCACGGGTGCAACGGTGTGGAGGAGGGCTTAGCCTAGCATGCAGCATTGTGTCTTTGCTTTGCGTCTTTAAGGTTCAGTTAACTCGGCTGAGAGCCTCCCCTCTGGGCTACTTGTCTTCATCACCTGCTTGGAGGCTCGAGGAATCATGTCATACACAGCCCTAAACCCTAAACCCTAAACCCTCAACCGACAGCTGCATTTTGGTCGCGATGGCAATCTCGGATCGAAATTAGTGTCACCTGAAAGACGCATCATCCTCACAAATCATCCTGTTGCAGAGCAGACCCGACAGTTGGAGGAAGCCTGTAAGTACAGAAAAGACACGAAGAACTAAACGAAGCTCTGAACCACCAAGTAGGACCTTTTAGGGTTTAGGGCTTTTAGGGTTTAGGGTCTATAGGGTGTAGGAACTCCAACTGAACCTTTTGCTTCCAGAGGGCTACCCTAAACCCTAAGCCCTAAACACAAAGCCATGCAAAGTCAACTCCAAAAGCCCTGCAACATAATACAGAATTCTCTGATTAGTCATACTATGCCCTGAAAGTCCTTAGAATATCGTCGTACTAGAACATACCCCGGAATCATGTTCTAGTCACTAAGTCATAAGGACCCTTACGGGGGTAGGGGGGGAGGGGGGTATAGGGGGCCTCGATACCCGTGATAAGGACCTAATTAATAGGGCGACGGTTTAGGGTTTAGGGTTCTGTTGGTTTAGGGTTTAGGGTAGGTTTCCCACCCCCTTCAGTGATGAAGGTGCCCCCTATATTCCAAACCCTAAACCCTAAACCCTACACCCTACACCCTAAACCCTAAACCCTACACCCTAAACCGTCCACCCTAAACCCCAAGGGCCCAAAGATGACAAGAGTCCGTCGCCACCGCCTTGGAGCTGCACGCGAAGTCCGTCAGGCACGGGTGGAAGCACAGTGACGACAGCAACTTGGCCGAATCTAGTCCTCAATGTGGAGAGCGGTTAGTGCTGGTAGCTCTTCGCTATATATATATATGTGTATAGATATATAGATAGATATATAGATATATAGATAGATAGATAGATAGATAGATAGATAGGGTTTGAGGCTCATTTTAGGGTTTAGCGCTTAAGGTTTACGGCTTCAGGTTGCAGGATTTAACTTAGGGTCTTTCGCGAAACCTTGTGAAAGATTGTGTGCTCTACTTAGACATGCGGCGTCTCCTGATCCGGATAATTAGTTACCGCACTATTGAACTCCGCCACAGATCCACCAGTGCAAACAGAATCTGTTTCAACCCATCGTCCGGAAATATGAATGGTGCTGAGATGGACGGCTGCTTATGGGTTTCGAGCTTAAGGTTCAGGAGTTGAGGTTTCCCCCTGCGGTGTGGTGTGCTGTTCCCTGCTTCCCTCGTCGGGTTTGGGCTTGCTTGGGGTCTTTGGTAGTCTGCTTGGGGTCTTCTCTTGGTGGTATCATAATGGTTGGTGGACTCTCCTCCCCCCTGTGTTGTCTGCTTGAGGTCTTTGGCATTAGCATTATGGCTCGTGGACCCTCCTCCCTTTCGTGCGCTATGGTGTGGTTCGGCTTCTTGCAGTCTTTGCTACTGCGACGTAAGGGAAATTACCCAAAGGGTCCTAAGTACCTACATTACTGTATTACGGTAGAATGTCCGGTTTCTATATTAGGAAGTGCGATTATGATTTGGGAAAGTATTCCCCTATCACGGTACCTAGGATCCTTTGGGTTACGAACCATCCCAAACCGGTACCTAGTATAGCTACGTGGTGTGGCCACGATGACAGCCAAGCAGCTGGCAAACTCCCGCTTTGGGGTTCAGCGCTTCCACCACCTTAGATTCAAGTGCCGTTCATCAACACAGTGTAAGGGCGCTAATGATCAGAATAGAGGTTATATTCGGGACTATATAAGGAAACACTACCAATCATTCCGGCCTCTATAGCACAGCATCCTAATTCGGGGTATGATTCGTCCCCGAAGTCGGGGACGCCGGAGAAGCTTTCCGGTCAGATCCTGCTGCTGGTTTGGTCTCTTGGGTTGAGGGCTTTAGGGTTTAGGGTTTAGGGGTTAGTTTAGGGTTTGGGGCTTCAGGGTTCATATGGGGAACTCACAGGCTATACAGGCGTGTGCTCGGATTTCCAGAATATGCCTTCTTGGAAACACACACGTCGCAAGGATGTTGCGCAGCTTTAACCCCAAACCCTAAACTATGCCCCTTGATACCTAAATCTGAAGAAGCCACAAGACATACAAGGCCTAGACCATGCTAAAGCCTGCAAGCCCAAGCGGAGCCAACACCAAAGACGGGTGCAGCAGTGGGTTCCTCAGTGCATAATCCAGGATGACAAGGGGTTTGTAGGGTGTCGGAGCTACAGACCAGAACAGAACAAGCCTTCGACGTCTGTGACTACACATCGACGTCATTGTTACTTCGTGAGGCTCGGCTGAAGTAACACCCTCCAAACTCTAGGCCACACTGGGCCCGACTGGGTTCCGGGTCTAAGGGTTCGGGGTTTAGGGCACCACCGCCACCACGCTGAACACCTCTAGACCCAACAACTAGATCCTGCAAGCGAATCACGTGCCTGCAAAGTCCAGACCCGGGCTCCTCAGCACGAAGCCCCAGATCTGCATATCTCCAAACTCCGATATGTCACTTACATTCTAAACCTTGAACCCTGCAACCCGCCCAACAAGACTCAACACTGAACACCGCCACCCCGAAACCTACGACTCAGTCACCACGCACCTGCAGGGTCGTGTTCAGCTCGTCCTCACTGGCCAGGTCGATCTTGTTCACCACTACGACCTTTAGAAGTTCATGCTCCGATTTTGGAGCTTTGGGGTTTAGTGTTTTGGCTTTGGGGTTTAGGGTTTAGGTGGGTTTAGGGTTCAGGGATGCGCCTTCAAGGATTCGCGCTTTTGGCAGTCTAAGGAATCGGCCGTGATGCTAGTATCTCAGCATGTGTTTCCTACTGATGCGGAAAGCCGTGATGCATCCTCGTCATGATGTCATGCCTGGATACAAAACCGAAAACAGCTCGTCTGACAAGTCGTACACGCCCCAGTGCATAGAGCACTGTTGGTATTACGAGTATTGCCATTACTGAGTATGATTATGATCATGACTATGATCATTGTTCTTCGCACCGGGCTACAGGTCCACCTTCTGCAAGGCAAGACTGATGAACAGCTTTGAAGCTGCGGAGAACTGGACAAGCACGGTTTTGGAGTACCTCTAACCCCTAAACCCTAACTTCTAAACAACCCGGAATGATGAAAACCCGAACCTGAGGCCTAGACCACTGAGCCAGGAAATGGTGATGGGTCGCTTGCCCTCTGAACAGATTCAGTTTAAGGCTCGGCACTATAGCTGTGGGGTCATGGCCTACTCGTTTAAAAGGTTCGGGGATGCAGGTAGGGGCTGACATGTTCAGAAGCGGTAGGTTTGTAGGAAGTCACTAGGCATTAGCACCCATGTTCTAGAATGACTGGGCATCAAGAGTTGGAACAGTGTGTCTAGGGACATAGTAGTAAGTTAGGGCCTGTAAGTTACCTGTATATATAAATATACTCATATATATATATATGTATA